AGGGCGGCCCCATTTTCAAAATGAGGCTTTCGCCATAGCCCCGCGCACATTAATCTTAGCAGCGTCCAATTGTGAATCGGATGGATGCCGCCGCGACTTCAAAATGCGCCTCTTGCTCGAGACTTCCTCAAATACTGCGACCTGAATATCCCAATTCCGCAACAGTTAAACGGATGGAAGGCCATCCCTTTTCAAAGTGCAACGGATGGAAGGCGATCCATTTTCAATTCCAGGCTTTCGCTGAAGACCTCCGCGACAACATGAGCAGAACTGCGAAATTGTGCACAACTTTCACGGGTGAAGGGCAGATCCTTTTGGGAAGCTTGCGGATGCGTGTGGGCAAGCAGGTAGCTGATGCTTTTGCTGGCCAAGCGACCAGGCTTGAGCGTGTGGGGGAGCTAGAGGAACAAACAACTGCGTAAACATAACTCGTTGGAGGATCGCGCGGATTTCCGCGCTGGACCCCCTGCCTGGCACGCTCCGCGCGCCAGGGGCGGCGCCAGAGGCGCCACCAGTGGGGGGCCCAGCGCCGATCAAAGAAACCCGCGCGGAGCTCCAGAAGTTTATGTTATTCGAGGGGCGCACCCGAACCCGACTCGCGCAGGTGGAGATGGCTGCACGGCACCCTCGGAGGCGCTTCCGGCGCGCCGCTCTGGAGGCGATGACGGCCGCCCCGAACCGCCACGAACTGCCAAGAAGTCACGGCAGGCCCGCGCTCCACCCCCGCCCTCCCCTGCCTCGGCTCGCTCCCTGGCCGCCGACGGACCAAGAGCCCTCGAGAGCTGGCTGCTTCTGGAAAGCTGCCCCGGGCCGCCCCCTGAGACGATCCAGCGCCGGCACGCGCCGAAGCCGCAGCCTTGCAGCTGTGGCGCGGTGGTGGACCCTGCAGGATTCGTCCTGCCTCTCGCGCTCCCTGCGCTCCTCGCGTCTGGGAGAGCGGGCTGCCCCCCAACGCCGCTCGGTGCTCGCCTCGCCTGGCTTAAAACAGGGCTCTAGGATCGGGACAAATCGCTCCAGAGCGTTCCGGAGCGCTCTCAGAGCGTTCCGGCACGCTCTGGAGCGGCCGCGGCGCCCAAGACATCCTCCAAACCCGCCGATTTTCTCAGAGATTTTCAATTATCCCGATCCGATTTTGCCCCGATCTTCGCGTCGTTTTACCCGGGGCTGTCAGAAAAACGACCCAGGACGAAAAACCGGCCCCGGGAAGGGGTCGGGGCCTATGAAGAGGGAGCTTGGAGGGAGGGTTTACTTCAACATTATTGAGGAATCTTGGGTTTACACTCCTCCTCCTCCTCCTCCTCCTCCTCCTCCTCCTCCTCCTCGCGTCGTTTTACGCCTGGCTCCCTGGCGCCACCGACGCCCGCTCGCGCACGATCTGCAGGGGCCCCCCGCCTCGGCAGCTCCCGCGCGGCGGCCCGGCGCAGGACCGAGCGCTTCCCCTCCGGCGGCTGTCGCCCCCTCGCTTTCAGCCTCCTCCTCCTCCTCCTCCTCCTCCTGGGTCTCCTCCTCCTCCTCCTCCTCCTCGTCCTCCTCCTCCTCCTCCTCCTCCTCCTTGGTCTCCTCCTCCTCGGTCTCCTCCTCCTCCTCCTCCTCCTCCCCCTCCTCCTCCTCCTCCTCCTCCTCCTCCTCCTCCTCCTCCTCCAGGGTCGGCATTTGGTCAAAAGGGCCCCCCCCCGCGATGGTATGCTTCGAGCCTGGCTCGGATATCTCGGCTGGTTCGGTGTCTCTTGGCTTGTGTGCGGAGACATGCTTCAAAACGCCGCTGCGGAGTGCCAGCAAGAGAAAGCCTTAGTCAAGAGTGTACATTGAGGAAAGCATCACATAGCACACAGCATAAAAAAATATGGTCAGGGCCCATCCCATGAAACAGAAGGAAGTGATGGCCTCTGGAGCCCCAGGATACTTTGGAGCCCAAGGACCAACCCAGGAATTGAACAATTGCTGAAGCCGGGGGCAAATAAGGGCAGATAAGTCGCTGGTGACACGGAGGATGCGCAACCAAGGATACATCCACGGGGGTGTGTATGGAACCTGGGGCTCGTGCAGACACATCTGGCAAGCGTTCGGACAACCGCCAAAGGAATACAGGAGGAGGAGGAGGAGGAGGAGGAGGAGGAGGAGGAGGAGGAGGAGTAGGAGGAGGAGGAGGAGGAGGAGGAGGAGGGTGTCGCCTCATAACGCACATGTTTTGTTCCTACACGTCGTACTGGCACGCCTCAAGCTTGTCTTGGTGAACAGTGGTGGGTGAAGAAGCTCGGGGCATAGCAGCCCGAGGCTTTGCGCGCAGGGAACCCGTCGCACGCGCCAGACACAACATTGAGCAAAGCACGGATTCTCGGCAGCTCATTACACTTTGCAGTGTATCTGGCACGGGTGGCGTCCGCAACGAGTGAGAGCTGAGGGAACTCAATCTGGAGACCGAACATGCTAAGGTTGGTACATCTGCCAGATAAGAGGGCAATGTTCGGACCTGCGGAGCGGAGCCGTAACGTCTTTAGCAGCACAATCGACTGCGCCAGCCCAAGCCCAAGCCTCAGCTCCCTGCTCCTGAGCTGTGTAGCGTTTTCCCTACAGGCCTCCCCCTCCGCACCCCAGCCGATCCAGACCCCAAGATACTTCAAGCAACAGACTGTTTCCAGACATTCAAGATGGGCACCACTCTCCGAATCTTTTCGCCGTCGGCAGCCCCACGTATGCCCGCGCGCACCAATACTGCGTACCCCCATCGGACCTGCGCACTCGACAAGGTCAAGTTGTGCGGGAGGGGGGGGGCGGGGCGATAATCCGGCCGATCGGCGGACCCTGAAAGAACACTGGAACCTATTGAGGGAAGGGTCCAGGATCAGTCCGCACCGAATCTGGAAATCGGATCGACTCGCAGTCTTCGTCAGGTCAGGCTGCATCGGCACGGAGGAGGAGGAGGAGGAGGAAAGGGAGGAGGAGGAGGAAAGGGAGGAGGAGGAGGAGGAGGAGGACCATATGAGCATCGGGCCGCACCGGATCGTCGGAGCATCGGAATGGAATCGGATCGGGCGGAGCGGCATGGGCCCTGGCCCAAGGACTTGCCCAACCGAGGGGTTCGCCCCTTGGTTCTGGCTTGGCGTTGTCGCCGCTTTCCTATCGCACCGCGACGGGGCCCATCCCGCTCCGATCCATTCCTCCTGCTCCTCCCCCCATCATCCTCCTCTTCATCCTCGTCCTCCTCTTCATCCTCATCCTCGTCTTGATCATCGGTTCCTACCGCTCGGACCCCGGCCTCTGCGCGTGCTGATCGTGAAGTGGAGAACGTGCTAGGCTTAGGTCGGGCAAATATCCCTACAGGCGGATGGTGGACGAGAAATAAGAAACAGTCAGTACATATATATGTATATATATATATGCATATGTATATATACATATACAATACATTTATAGAGATATATGTGTATATATAGAGTCAATACACACATACATCTATATATATTTATACATACATACATATACATATACATACATACATACATAGAAAAATAACAAAACGTCCCCTGCTTATGCTTTGACCGTCTCTGACTATGCCTCCTGTAAGGGGACATGTCCGCCTTGATGCCAGGCCCCTCGCTCCTCGGCTCCCCTGCCGCGTCGCGGGCGGAACGCCGCACGGCGCGCCCCACCCTCTGGCGAGGCGGCAGTGCCGCCGCGGGCCGCCGCCCACCTCTGTCGGCAACGGCGCCTGGCTGCCGGCTGTTCACCAAACAACATCAGAGCGCCCAACATCCCCATCATAAGCATAAGCATACTCATAAACATAAACATCATCAGCATCATAATCATCATAATCATCATCATCATCATCATCAGCAGCAGCATCATCATCATCAGCATCATCAGCATCATCATCACCATCATCATCATCATCATCATCATCATCATCATCATCATCATCATCATCATCATCATCGTCATCGTCATTATCATCATCAGCATCGTCATCATAATCATAATCATCAGCATCATCATCATCGTCACCATCATCATCATCATACGCGTCATCATCAGCATCATCACCACCATCAGTCGGATCAACAACATTCCCTTCATCGTCATCCTCATCCTCATCCTCATCCTCACCATCCTCCTCCTAACCATCACCAACAATCATCATCATCATCATCATCATCAGCAGCAGCATCATCCTCATCCTCATCCTCATCCTCATCCTCATCCTCATCCTCATCCTCATCACCATCATCATCATCATCATCATCATCATCATCATCATCATCATCGTCATTTTATTTTCATCATGCGATTACACAGCACCATCATCCTCATCACCCGCCTCTCCCTCAGTCGTCTCCCCCCTCCTCCTCCTCCTCCTCCTCCTCTTCTTCTTCTTATTCTTCTTCTTCTTCTTCTTCTTCTTCTTCTTCTTCTTCTTCTCCTTTTTCTTCTGCCTCCTCCTCCTCCTCCTCCCTCCTCCTCCTCCTCCTCCCTCCTCCCCTCTCCTCCTCCTCCCTCCTCCGCCTCCGCCTCCGCCTCCCTCCTCCTCCCTCCTTCCTCCTCCTCCTCCTCCTCCTCCTCCTCCTCCTCCTCCTCCTCCTCCTCCTCTCCTCCTCCGCCTCCTCCTCCTCCTCCTCCTCCTCCTCCTCCTCCTCCTCCTCCTCCTCCTCCTCCTCTCCTCCTCCTCCTCCTCCCCCTCCTCCTCCTCCTCCTCCTCCTCCTCCTCCTCCTCCTCCTCCTCCTCCTACTCCTCCTCCTCCTCCCTCCTCCTCCTCTCCTCCTCTTCCTCTCTCCTCCTCCTCCTCCTCCTCCTCCTCCTCTCCTTCCTCCTCCTCCTCCTCCTCTCCTCCTGCTCCGCCCCCCTGCTACTCCTCCCCCCCCTGCCTCCTCCTCCTTGCTCCCTTCCTCCCCGCCCCCCCCCCTCCCCCCCCTGACCTCGGAGGACCTGCAGGCCCTGACCTCCTCGGGCAGGGGGAGGAGGGGGGGGGGGGGGCCGCCCCGCCCCTCCCCCCCCCCGGGGCCTCCTTGGTGAGCGACAGCAGCGAGGTCCACAGCCTGGACGTGCGGCGGAGCAGCGAGAACGCCTGCGCCGCGGACCAGACTCCAGGAGACTCTCGGAGCTCCGCGCGGACCCCTCTCGGAGCGGCGCGGGGCGCGCCACAAGGCGGCGCCGCGGGGGCGGCCCGGGCCCAGGTCCAAGAGATGCGCGCGGAGCTCCAGAAGGCGCTCTCTCTCATCGAGACGAGGGGGGAAATTATGAGGCAACTGCTGGGAGGTCTTCGTCGGAAGGATGAAGTTAAGCCCCACGGAGGGGCCACTGCGCCGGATCAGGATGCGGATTGAGAGCGGGGTCAAGCCGGATTCAGCGGGATGGAGCCAGAGTTTAGCGGAACGGAACCAGATCAAGCCGGATTTGTTCAGACCAGGGCAAAGTCAGAATTTGACCTCCAAAGAGTTGCATCCGACGGGGAGGGACTATCCGCCGCCGCACTTGCAGCGCTTGCCAGGCCCTTGCAGCGTTTTGCCGCTCGCCCCGCGTAAAGTCGGACCCAGGCCAGGAGACCATCCCTCGAGAACATGAGACCCTCCGTCGGCCAAACACACACACAGAACATCCAAGCGTACCCTCCCCAGGATACACAAAACAATCCCACATACACGGGCCATCCCAGAGAACAACAAAACACTCCATAACCATGCCCCCCTCTTGAAGCAGGCAGACGCCAGAAGCAGATTGGGATCCGGGAGCCCCAAAGTACGCACCTTCAACGACCGTCGAGCAGTTGTGGCCTCCCCGAGCCAGCCAACCCAACGTGCAGCCCCTGCGCTGCCTGGCCCTCCCGGCAGGCAAAACTGCTCCCGACCACGCGAGCTTTGGGAGGCGCCCGGGGGGGCCCCGCCACCCTGCCCCCACCCCTCGCGGTGGCTCTGCGAGAGGGCCTGCCGGAAGGCCATCACGCAGACGAAGCCAGGACGAGGACAACATCGGGGGAGGACAGGTCGAGAAGGGCTTGCCCAACGGCCACGATGCAGGACGAAGCCAGGACGAGGCTAACACCCAGTGAGGATGAAGCGAAAATCTCTGAGATCCGGCGACTCTGGAGGATGTCTCGGGCGCAACGGCCTTCTCAGAGGGTTCCGGAACGCTCTGGAACCGATTTGCCCTCGTCCCAGCCCCGTCCGATGATGGCACCAGACAGATTCCACGACAGCCAGGCCAGGATTGTTTCCAAGTCGGACACGATGGCCCTGTGCGGCCCCACGGACGGTCCAGGATGGCTTCCGAGACGGCCACGACGGCCCCAAGACGGACCAAGAGGCCCGGAGCCGCCGCTCGCAGGACAAGGAGGCGAGGCCCGAGGACGCGGAAGGCGGATGCGCAAAAGGAGGGGAGGCGGGATGAGCGATGTGGGGGTAAGGAACGAGGGAGGAGGGCGCACGAGGCCACGGGGCGGAGCGGCAGCGTCTCGAGATGAAGCGCTGCACAGCTCGGGCGGGCCGAGCCGGAGACCCGCCGCAGACCTCAGCGGAGGGCGAGGGGAGGCGAGGGGAGGAGGGAGGGGCCGGGAAGGAAACGTAAGGGAAGGAGGAGCCAGGAGGACCTAGGAGGGAGGAGGAGGAGGAGGAGGAGGAGGAGGAGGAGGAGGAGGAGGAGGAGGAGGAGGAGAGGAGGAGGAGGAAGAGGCGGAGGGGGAGGGAGGAGGAGGGAGGGAGGAGGAGGGAGGGAGGAGAGGAGGAGGAGGAGGAGGAGGAGGAGGAGGAGGAGGAGGAGGAGGAGGAGGAGGAGGAGGAGGAGGAGGAGGAGGAAGGAGGAGGAGGGAGGGAGGGAGGGAGGAGGAGGAGCCAGCAGCACAAGAGGGCCCCGAGGTTGCGGCTGTCCGCAGCGGCGGATGCCCAGCAGGCGGGCGCGTAGGCCGACGCAGAGGAACGCGCAAGCAACGAGCGGAAGCACGAGTGGCCTGCTCCAAAGATCGGCGAAGCGCCCGGGGAGGGGTGAGCTCCGACGACGTTCGGGTTTCGAAGCTTTCTGGCGCTGCTGTTGGTCCTCGGCAGTTTCCTAGCCTCGCTCGGGGTGCACTCCAGCAGCCGCGCCTCGCCGAGAGCGGCCTGGGGGGTGCTGGATCGTCCCGAACGGCCGCCAGCGGCCCGAACTATGGCCCGAAGGCCGGAGTCGGGGGCGCGCCCACGGGGGAAGCCGGAGGGGGCGGGCCTTCTCAGGACGCTCGGGAGGACTCTGACCTTCTGGCTGGTTGTGTGGAAACCCTCCCCGAGGACGTGGAGAACTTCTTAGGAAAGACGAGGTCTTCCGAGAAGCCACACCGCCTGGGCCTGCTCCTCCTCACTTCCCCCCCTTGGCGCGCCGCCGAAACAGAGAGAGTTGCTCTGCCGGCACGTCGGTTGCTGAAGCCTCTCGTCGACGCAAGAGAAGACGGAGGAGGAGGGAGGAGGAGGAGGGAGGAGGAGGAGGAGGAGGAGGGAGAAGGACTCGAGGACTCGAGGACTCGAGAGCAGAGGGCACCGCAGTCGACTCGGCCGCCGCGGCCCCTGTGCCCGCGCACTCTGCGCGGGCTCCCGCCCGTCACCTGCGGGCCTTCTTGTTGGACTCCAGCATCATGCCGTAGGGGAGGCAGTGGCTATGGTTAAGGTTGCCCGTCCACCCACAACGCCCGAATAGTGCAAGCTGCGGAGACGCCCGAAATCGGTTAACGTTCAATGTGAAACTTACCCTGTTGGCGTCCGTGTGTCTGTTCACCCACACAGTTAACAACCTCTGAACGAAACTTCCAATCCGCAAGCATACACACAACGAGGATACTGAAATACCACCAAGGCACGTACTCTTGACGTGTGAATTCAGACAATGGGTACATATTGATAGCAGAAAGCTGCCAACGAAGCAGAGTGGGGCCACCGAGACAACGCCAGCAAAATGCAAACCACTAAATGCGTACCACCGCCGTCTGCCTTTCTTGCCACATGGGCCTGGGCCAGGCTCAGCCATGTAAAATAATATACCACTGCGCAAAAGCCAAATGTCCCACATGATTGAGGTACAAAGGGCCAGATGGTTGAACAAATGCTGAAGTACAGAGTGATGCCACTGAGACAACGAACAAATGCCAACAACCAAAGCTGCACAGACGTCTGCCTTACTTGCCGCTCGGGCCTGGGCCAGGCTCTGCCCCCAGCGATGCCGTGCATGATGTGGAGGAGGAGGAGGAGGAGGAGGAGGAGGAGGAGGAGGGAGGAGGAGGAACCTGTTTGGTCTGCGGCGAGTTGGGTCCGACAGATGGTCAAGCAAACGGCGGGACGCCATCGTTAGGATGAGGAGGAGGAGGAGGAGGAGGAGGAGGAGGAGGGGGAGGGGGAGGAGGAGGAGGAGGAGGAGGAGGAGGAGGAGGAGGAGGAGGAAACGGAGGAGGAAGAGGAGGAGGAGGAGGCGGAGGAGGAGGAGGAGGAGGAGGAGGTCGGGAGTCGGCGGCCGTGGATCGGTCGGATGGCGAGTTGGGCGGGACGCCATCGTTGCGAGTGGAGGCACAGTGGCGCAGGCGGGCGAGGGCCGGGGAGAAGGAAAGCCGTGGGACATCCTGAGAACCCCCAGATCGTGCAGACTGTGAGGGTGCGCCTACGAAGCGAGCGGACGGACGAGCAGCCTGCTCCATAATTTATCCTGGCGAAGAGCTCAACCATATGCAATTGTGAGTACCTACCATCGTTGTGCGTATCGCCTTCGGTGGATCTCCTTCTGGTGCCACGGAGCGTGTGAATGGTGTGCCGAATGGGGCGGGTACGCCATGCAGGCGCTGCCACTGAGGCCTGCGCCAGAGCTCCATATAGAGATACGAAACGTGCGCGGGGTGTACCGAATCGGGTGCGGACGCGCCATGCGGACTGTGCCACTGGGGCCGAAGGTGGAGCTCAATATGGGGCCAAGAAGCGTGTCAGGGGTATACCGAATCGGGTGCGGGTACGCAATGCGGGCTGTGCGGCTGGAGCCTTCCGCGGATCTTCTATGGAGACTGGCTGATTCATCCGATGCCAACTCATCCGCTCCGACTCATCCGATCCGCGGTTCGGGAGAACCGCGACAGGATGAATTAGACCAGATGAACTAATCACCAAATGAGTTAGCCCGGATGAATGAGTCACCAGATGAGTTAGCCTGGATGAATTAAGCACCGGATGAATCAGGCACCAGATGAGGTTGGCATCAAATGAGCCAAGCACCAAATAACGTAGGAATCTGATGAATGAGCACCGGCTGAATTTGATGAATTTGGCACCGGATGAATTTGGCACCGGATGAGCTTGGCACCGGATGAGCTTGGCACCGGATGAGTTTGGCACCGGATGAGTTTGGCACCGGATGAGCTTGGCACCAAATGAATTTGGTACCCGATGAGTTTGGCACCGGATGAGTTTGGCACCAAACGAGTTTGGCACTGGATGAGATTGGCACCGGATGAGTCTGGCACTGGATGAGTTTGGCGTTTCTCGTTATAGTGTGAGATCTCGTTAGTTAGCGGTGGGCGCCAGTGGGGTAATGTCAGAGATTCTTCGACAGACTCGTTTGAAGCGCTGCACTGTCTGGAAAAAGTAAACAACCTACGCATAAACTTTCGGAGGCTCGCGCGGAGATCTCGAGTCGGCGCTGGCCCGCTCCCGGGTTGGGCCTGGCGCGCGACTGGCGGCGCCCGCCCGGATCGGGGCCTGGTGCCAACGCGAGAAATCCGAGAGGGCTTCCGGAAGTGTACATATGTATATGCGTGTTCAATATTGCCACTCGCTTGGCGTATGCCGCTTGTTCTCAGCATTCCTCGCTCTCCTGCCTATTCCCAGTCGTCCTCCTCCCTCTCGTCTTCCTCCTCGTTTCCATGATCTATCGTGCTCCTCGTCCTCCGCATCCTCCATCTCGTCCTCGTTCTCCTTTTTCTGGTTCTCCTCTTTGTCTCTCTCCTGCACGTCCACCTTCTCTCCGCTTCCCTGTCTCCCTCCTACTGAGAGGCGGGCTGGATAAGTTCGGCATTTGGAATTAAAGCACCGGATGAGTTAGTCACCTGATGAATAGAACACCGGATGAGCTAGGCACTGGATGAGTTAGGCCTGAATAATTCCAGTGTCGGACCGCATGAATTAGGCAACGGATGAGTTTGGTACCGGATGAGCTTGGCATCGGATGATTGAGGCACTGGATGATTTAGGTCTGGGGAAGTTGAGTCAGGCATCGGATGAGTCAATTTCCCATGCTCTGCTGGTAGGGCTTCTTGGGGGCATTCTGGGGCAGATGGGGGGTGAGAATTTGCTTGACTACAAAGCGGTCTGTAGTCAAGCAGATCTTGAGTCACTTTGAATTTACTTTGAACAATTGTGGGATGTTTTTGAAGCCGATGTTGGGGGTCGCTGCCTCCCGAGGGTGTTCTGGAGGGGTTACTGGGTACATCCTGGGGCAGAAGAGAGGTGAGAATTTGCTTGACTACAAAGCGGTTTGTAGTCAAGCAAGTTTTGAGTTGCTTCCGAACTATTTTTGACGTTTTTACGAATATCGGAAGAGGAAGGGTACCAATGAGTTTGGGCAGCGGATGAGTTAGGACACCAAATAAGTTAGGACACTGGATGAGTTAAGGCACCAGATGAAATAAACACCGGATAATTTTCGCGATGAGTTAGGGCACTGGCCAGATGAGTTAGGGCACCGGATGATTTCGGCGCCAGATGAGGTAGGGCATCGGGTGAGCTAGTCACCAAATGAATCAGGCAACGGATGAGTTAATGCATCGGATGAATTAGTCTCCAGACAGGCCTGGTTCAATTTGAGGTCGGGCGCCCGATGACTTTGGCACCGGAGGAGTTAAGGTTCTGGATGAATTTGGCGCCCCGATGAGTTAGGCACTGGATGCTGGATGAGTTAGGCTCGGATGTTGTCGAAACCGACTTTGGGAGCTCGCTGCTTCCAGAAGCTATTGTGATTGGCTTCTTGGGTGCGTTTTGGGGCAGAAGAGAGGTGAGAATTTGCTTGACTACAAGACGGTCTGCAGTCAAGCAAATGTTGAATTACTTTTGAGTTCTTGTTGGGTGCTCTGTCAAGGCGACGTTCGGGGTTCGCTGCTTCTCGAGGTTCTGCTGGAGGGCTTCTCGGGGGTATCCTGGGGCAGTTGGGTGGGTAGAATGTGCTTGACTACAAAACGATGTATAGTCAAGCAAATTTTGAGCTACTTTCGTTGCATTGTTGGACGCTTTGAAGGTCACATTCTGGGGGGCTTCCTGGGGCCTGGGGCAGATGGGGGGCTGGAATTTGCTTGACTACAAAACGTCTTGTAGTCAAGCAAATTTGGAGTCACTTTTGACTTATCTGTGGATGTCTTTCCAGGCGACATTCGGAGCTCGCTGCTTCTGGAGGGTTTCGTGGGGTATCCTGGGGAAGAAGGGGGGTGACAATCTGCTTGACTGCAAAGGATCTGAAATCAAGCATCTTCGGGCACATCCGTCAAGATTCTGGATGAGTGAGGTTGGATGAATTTAGGCTATCCGATGAGTGACGGAGTGGATGAATTCGGCAGCGGATGAATGAGGGTACTGGATGAGAGAAAGAGCGGATGAGTTCGGATACCGGAAGTGTTAGGGCATCGGAGGGCACCAGATGAGTTCGTAAATGGATGAGTTGGCCACCGGATGAGTTATGGCACTGGAAACCGTGAGGCACCGGATGAGTGAGGACACCAGGTGAGTTAGGGCATCGTATGAATTAGACAACTGGATGACTTAGTGACAGGATGAGTTTGGCACCGGATGAATCAGGCACAGGGCACCGGATGAGTTCGTCGCCGTGTGAACTGGATGAGTTTGGCACCGGATGAGTGAAGTCATCGGATGAGTTAGCTACTGTACCGGATAATTTTGACCAGATGAGGTAGGTCATGAGTGATTCAGTAAGGCACTGGATGAATTAGTTACCGGATGAATTTGACCGGATGCATTAGCCACCGGATGAACTAGACCGGATGAGATAGGCATCGTATGAATTACACTGGATGAGCTTGACACCAGATGAGTTAAGCGCGGATGAGTTAGGCATTGGATGAGTCTGACCGGATGAGTGACGCACCGGATGAATCAGCCCGATTTCCTATAGGGCAACGAAGCGTGTGAAGGGTGTGCAAAATCGGGTGCGGGTGCGCCATGCGGACTGTGCCACTGGGGCCGACGGTGGAGCTCACTGTGGGGCTTCGAAGCGTGTCAGGTGTCAGGGGTGTGCCGAATCGTGCGCGGGTGCGACATGCGGACTGTGCCACTGAGGCGCAAGGTGGAGCTTCCCGTGGGGCCACGAAACGTGTGAGGGGTGTGCCGAATCGCGTGCTGGTACGCCATGCGGACTGTGCGACTGGAGCACTCGGCGGATCTTCTATAGGGCCACGAAACGCGTGGAGGGCGTGCCAAATCGGGTGCGGACCGCGCCATGCGGACTGTGCCACCGGGGGGCCGGAGGTGGGGCTCCCCATGGGGCCACGGCGCGTGTCCGGGGTGTGCCGAGTCGTGTGCGGGTGCGACGTGCGGACCGTGCCACCGGGGCCGAAGACGGAGCTCAGTCTGCGGCCAAGAAACATGTGAAGGGTGTGCCAAATCGGGCGCGGGCACGCCATGCGGACGGCAGAGCTCCCGATAGGGCCACCAAACGTGTGGTGTGTGTGTGTGTGCCGGACCGGGTGCGGGCACGCCATGCGGACTGTGCCACTGTGGCCTATGGGGTAAAGAAGCTTGTGAGGGGTGCGCCGAATCGGATGCGGGTACGCCATGCGGACTGTGCCTCTGGGGCGTAAGGTGGAGCTTATTGTTGGCTCTGGGGCCACGAAAAGTGTGAGGGTGTCCAATCGGCTGCGGGTGCACCATGCTTGCTGTGCCACTGGGGCCGAAGGTGGGGCCAAGACACGTGTGAGGGGTGTGCCGAATCGGGTGCGGGTACGCCATGCGAACTTTGCAACTAGGGCCCGAGGTGGACCTCCCTATGGGGCCACGAAGCGTTTGAGGCGTGCCGAAACACAAACATGCGGAGGACAGAGGCAAGGATGGGAGGAGGGGGAGGAAGAGAGGAGAGGAGGGACGCAGGGCGCTCTCTTCAAACGAGGATCGAACACCACAGGATGGTTGGGAACAATAATCATTCTGCCTGTGCGGCTGTTTCCGAAGTGCGCCTCTCGTCGAGGAGCGGAAAATGACACAACACGAAGTTGCGGGTGTCAGCGCGGATGTCTTGGACCGACGCTAGAGCATCCTGGCGGCGCCTCTGACGCCGCCCCTGGCACGCGCTACGCACCAAGGAGGGGGGTCCAACGCCAATTCAAGAAATCCGCGGGGACCTCCGAAAGTCTATGCTTACTGCATGTGGGGCGTTCAAGAAACGGCCTTGCATTCGAGGATCAAAGGACTTGTCATCTCTTTCGCAGCGGAAGGCGGCGGAAGGTCGGCGGAAGTAAAACGAGGCCGCATCCGCCAGCGGAAGCTCGGCGGAAGGCGGCGGAAGTAAAAAATGCGCCGCCAAGAGATGAACACTTTTCGGGCGCAGGGCTTTCGAAATCGAACATGTGTTGTTCCAGGGTCTCGGCAATGTTGGCTGCGACTGGCAGGGGCAGACAGCGGAGGGGGTTGGCCAGGGCGGTCCAGGCGTTCCTCCAAGGAGACCCTCCACACACACACCAACACACACACACACACCCACACACAACACACACAACACACACAACACACACACACACACAACACACACAACACACACAACACACACAACACACACAACACACACAACACACACACGCGCACGCACGCACGCACACACACACACGCACACACACAAACACACACACAAACACACACACACACACAAACACACACACACACAACCGCAGCCTGGGCACCCACATCAACCGAGGCGGGAGCAGCTGATTGAGCACCAGCTTCTCTCCACTGTCGCTCACATCCTGGGCACCATATGGAAAGCTTGTAGCAAGGGGCCGTGGTGAAGTGCCCCACGAGCGGGCCCACACAACCCCGCAAGCGGGTGTTGCGCAGCGAGGGGCCATCCAGACACATGAGGAGGCACGTGCACGCGAGAGAAGCCCTCCGCCATCTCGATGAGCAGTCTCAGGTACGTGGCAGTGCAAGCTGGATGCGCTGGCAGAGCTGCAAAAACGATGTCCTCCTCCGCCGCCTCATCATCCTGCTCCCCCCCCTGCACTTGCGGGTCCTCTGAGGCTCTCTGTCATCCCCAACGCCCCCCTCCGCCTTCGCAACGAGCTCTTTGAAAAACTCGTACCGATGGCTCGCCTTGATCGCCTGCTGGGATTTTTTTTTGGGGGGGGGCACAGAAGGGAGTAGACAGAAAAGGCGGAGGGGGCAGGGGAAAGGGATGGGGGGGAGAGAAGGCAAACACGAACGGATGCAGGACGGGAGAACAAAGAGGAATGACGCTGATGATGATGATGATGATGATGATGATGATGATGATGATGATGTGATGATGATGATGATGATGATGATGATGATGATGATGATGATGATGATGATGATGATGATGATGATGATGATGATGATGATGATGATGATGACGTGCTCGCTGCAACTACTACACCGTGGTCTTGGGCAATGACTCCTGCGAGCCGAGCGGAGATTTCGCACGGCACCCGTCGTACCAATACTGTGCTGTGCGGAGGCAGGAGTGGAGAACAAAGAGGGAGGAGGGAGGACGGATCGTGAACGGGCAGATGGCGAGCGAGGGGGCCAAGGCGAGAGCACCAGGGCAAGCATGGGAGGCAGGCAGGAAGAAAGGGCAAGGACCCGGACCTTCCAGATCCTCCTGGTCCTCCGCCACCTCCTGATCCTCCTCCTCGTCGTCCTCCTCCTCCGCCTTCCTCCTCTTTATGATAAGATTCCTCCTCCGCCTCCTCCTTCGTCGCCTCCTCCTCCTCATCATCATCACCATCACCACCACCAGCATCATCATCAACATCATCGTCACCGTCGCCGTTGTCAGAGTAGTCAGCGCACCAGCACGCATATTACCTATCACCTATGAATGGGTGCTTGCGTTGTGACCCCCAATTTCGCTGATGTGCTGCTGCTGCTGCTCCTCATCCTACTCACTATCCTCATCCTTCCTTTCCCCATCCCCCGGCTTCCCCCCTCAACCTTCCCCTTTCATAGTATGCGCTCGCGCATGCCTGGATCTGCCCGAACAGAAGCCCTCCCCCTTTTTCCCACGCGCTCCCTCTTCTCCCTCCCTCCTCAGACCTCCTCCCTCCGCCTCCACATATGTTCCCCTTCCTGCGGCAGGCTCGGGTTGTGACGACTACGGCGTTGGCAGTTGACGCCGCGCAGATCGTTCAACCTTGAGCGATCGCGACTTCCCGGTCGCGCGGGATCATTCGCTGGAGGACGAGGAAGAGGAGGAGGAGGAGGAGGAGGAGGAGGAGGAGGAGGAAGAAGAGGAGGGGAGGGAGTCGGCCGATTCCGGGCCACTGGCAGCGATCAATCCTGGAACGCCCGCGCTGCACCTCCATGCTCGCCTCCTCTCCTTCCTCTTCCCCGTCCTCCCTGCCCTCCCATCCCTTCTTGAACTCCTCCTCGACCTCCCCCAGCATGCCTGCCCCCCCTCTCCCCAGACATGATCGCGCCGTAAGCAAATCAGGACGGGAGGTTTTTCGCTACGTCCGGCCCCATGGGGGCCCTCGCCGGGCCCCGGGACTGTCGAACAACGACGCAGGATGAGAAACGACTCTTGGGGAAGGGGGGCGCCGTATGGAAAACATCAGGACATCGCCTGTCGGGGTCCCCAAAGATCCGATGTCGTTTTTTTGTTTTTTTTCCAATACGGGGTCACTGGAATTCTAGACTCATTCCCTACGACCGGTTTTTTCGTCCCGGGTCATTCTTTGTTCTTTGACAATCCCAGGGCGCGGCGAAGACCCTTGGAGGCAGAACGTTGCGAAAAACCTCCGCCTTGATTTTTTCAACGCGTTGGATTTCTAGGTCTCTCTCTCGCTCGCGTCCCCCCTGCCCTCCCTCGAGAGAGCGGCATGTCCTCGGGAGTCGGATTTCGATATATCCGAGAGAGCACGAGCGGAAAGCGGCGAGCGGCGAGCGCGGGGGGGGCGGGGGGTCGGCGCAGGAGCGGCGAGTCCGACCTGGCGGCCGAGAGGAGGGAGATCCCACAGAGGAGGCTGGGGCGAGAATATGTCAATCTAACCTTCGAGTAACGTCCAAGTAACGTTTGGACTGCATGTTAAAGTAACGAAAACTTAACTGCACATGTATGCCGTCATCCCATGCAATAGCATGTCAGGAGCCCTGCGTGCAAGTCCCCCAGACACAGGCCAAACGCCGCCGCAGGCCTCACGGGGGCGAATGAGCTGGCAACGCGGTAGCGATTGACAGTGACCGCCTGAAGAGTGAACCTGCAATTGGGGGAAGGGCGGGGGAGGCGGGCGAGGGGGGGGCAGGGGAGAGGGGGCGCGAAAGGCGACGCGAGGAGGTGGGCGGCCAAGCGAAGTCGATAGGGGGCCAGGAAGCAGGGAGCCAAGGGAGGGGAAGGGGGGGAGACGGAGGGGGGGAGCACGGACGACGCAGTTGGCTAGGCATTGGATTCGGGAGAGCGGAGGCGGGGAGGCATGGATTTGAGAGCGCAGAACAGGACATGATATGTAAGGGCCATGAGGAGGTATGGGGTGTCCAACGCAGGGGCGCAGGTGATAATAATGGTAAGATAAGTAGAGAAGGAACGTGAGGACACAGGAGGGGGTGGGAGGAGTCGGGATGGACGGGGGCTGGAAACGCCCAGCGCAAAGGACGTGGACGGTGAAGGACGAAGCCACGCACCTGAGACCATACGGGAAAAGGCGACTTAGGATGACGGGATGGTCAGATTCTCTCTCGCGACCTGCTGCCGATTCTGCTGGCGGGAATGGCGGGCTGCTCGAAGCTCAGATCATCTTCCCCGCTGCGTGCCTCCATCCCCGTGCCCCCATCCCCCCCCGACCCCCCTCCGCCACCCCTCCCAGTCTGCCAGCCGCCGCGCTCAAGCTCGGCGCGGCCTGAGTGCGATTCGATGGGCTACAGCGAACTCGCACTCGCTGGCCAGGGCGGCCCCGACTACGCACGCGGGGCAAGGGGCCCAAGAACGACAGGAGAGACCTTTAGACGCGCGTTCTTTTCATGCCCCTGGGGGGGGGGGGGGGGAACGCAGGCGCATGCGCTGGCCGATCAGCGAGTGCGAGGCCTTACAACAACTGACCTCGAAATCGAGCCTCTCGAGAGCGACGAAAACACTGGCTACACCCTCTTGCCAATGCCTCCCTCCATTGGATTTCAACCCCAGCCCCCGATCCCCGTCGCTCTCGGATCGCTGGTGCGCGCGCCCAGTGCCCGGGGGACCTCGCCGACAAACCACGCTTGGCGCTACTGCTGGGCCCCTGGACTGGCTGGCGCAGCCGAGCAGCGTCACCTGCCGCTCGAAAAGGGGGCTCGCGACCAGATCGTGCATGAATTAGCGGCCCAACAAGAACTGCCGCATCGGGGCGTGGATCTCGGAGTGCAGCGCCTCGCCCTCCTTGGCGCCGTCTGTCAGTTTGGCCCTCAACTCGTTGATTTCGGAGATCAGGGCAGTCCTCAAGAGGTCGGCATTCTTCCCGCTAGTCATCTTCATCGGGATCGAAGCTTCGGCCTTGGTGGTCCAGCCCCTCTGCGCAATGGCCTCCGCAATTCCGACGAGGCTAGCGTCGGTCTCGACCGAGGCCCACTTGCAGGCCGCCCGATACTCCGTGACCCCGCGCGGGACAGCGGTTGCCAAATCAGCCAGGGCTTTCCACTGCGTCCCCTTGGTCGCCTTCTTCACGATCTCGGGCAGCTGGATGAGCGCCGTTTGGCCAACGACCTCCTCGGGCCACGGTTTTCCTGACAGCGTCCCGCACTGCACGATGGCCAGCTCTCTAACGGCCGTCTCCAAGGCCATCTTCTTGCCACGAACGCACTCAGTGCCGACCTGCGAGCGGAAACCCGTGGCCCAGTCGACGTCGCTTTCGAACTCGGTCCGCGCACCTAAATCGAGGTACTCCACCTGGCCCAACTCGATGGTCTTCTTGGTCTGCACTACCCTCAACCCCTGCGCGAGCATCATGCCCAGGCCGCCCTTCGACTTGACGACGTGCGCGGCCTCGCCAATGGCCTGGATCGCCAAGCACTGCGTCAGTACAGAACACGCCACTGCAACGACATCCATCCGCTTCGACAACGCGGGCTCGGGGCTGATCCCCAACAACGACCTCAAGGTCGCCGACCAGGAGTCCCATGACTTATCGCTGCGGTGCGTTTCCATGACAGCGATGAGCAACTGATGTGCACGGGAAGCGGTCTCGACCTCTGCCTTCTCCTTCAAGGACCCCCTTCGAGTGCGCGCATGCGTCGGCAATGGCAGTCACCACCTGGTCGAACTGTTCGAAGTTGATCTCAGAGACGGAGTCGCCTTGCTTCCAGTCTGGCATCAGTAAGGCACACATGCTGAGGAGGTTTCCGCGGCGATCCACTGTGGCAACATGCTGAGGCACCACTGCAGACTCCTGCTGAAGCACGCTCATCTCGCTATCCTTGGGGAACGCCACGTTTGCCTCGGCCACCAATGAGCTCACCATGTGCAGCTCCTCCTTCGAGGGGATGGGGGCCTTCGCCCAATCGGTATCGACGAACTCGTTTATTTTGTCAACGACTGCGCGCTTCAAGTCGGCCCCCATGGACTTTGTCTCGGCAGGCATCCCCTCAGACCACATCGCAAGCTTCTCGCGCGCGCTACTCAAGTCTTTCCAAGTACATTCGCCGTGGCCCTTGCTCAAGAGGTCCTTGGAAGTATTGATGATAGACAGCTGCTTCTTCGCAAAGGGCAAGGCGCGCTGCATAATCTCGATCTGATCCTGATAGTAGGGGGACCCCATCAAGGCCGCCGCAATGACGTGGCTCAAGGTGCTGCCCGACTTCTGGCGTACTGGCAGAACCACTCGATCTCCTCCGAGATATCCAGAATGGTCGCGCTTGCAGCCGGCTGCACGATGTGTCCGAGCACCCTTGCGACGTCCACGAAGTCATCGGAAAACTGAACAACGAAGCCAGACGACACGAGGTAGTCCATGCCTCGAAGATAGTAAGGCAAGCATTAGGGATCTGTCCGAGCACCGAGGCATATGCACGACCCTTGGAGATGGCCCTGCAGATGTGGTCCTTGATCACGATCCTGAAGAACTCTGCGGATTTCTCTTTGTCGGGCAAGTCCGTGGAACTCAGCGCAGGGTCGAGCGGGTCGAACTTGGAATGGCCAATAGGGCTTGCCACGCGAATGTACTCCACCGCGTCGTGGCTGATGTCTAGGCTCTCGAGCTTCAGGGAGACCAACTCCAGCATCGTCGTCTTGGGGGAGACGTGGCTGCCGTCCTCCACGACCTGAGTGACCAGCGCCAGCGCATCATCCCACGACTTCGCTTGAAGATCTCCAGCTCGAAGGCCCTCAGCAGCCTGCGCGAGCTTCTCGAAGACTGACAGGTCCGTGGCGTCCGACTTGGTACTGTCGCTCGCTGCGAGCCTCTTGATCTTCTTCCTCAGCCCAGAGACTGCGCGGCCGTCAACCGCCCCAGCCATGACGTCGGCCAAGGGAACGCGGGCCTTCCACTTCTGCACGAGACCGGCGCAAACATCATCGTCCCCGTCGTCCATCCCCGCATAAATGGCGCTGGCGCCGTCTTTGAACGGCTCCTCTGTAGAGCCCCCACTGCCGCCGCTTGTATGTCCCGCAGATATCGGCTTGGACGGCGTCTTGAAGTCCCCCGTCGAGGTCCACTTAGGCGCCGAGGAAGGTGGAGGCATGGATGCAGCAACTCCAACCAGAAGCTCATCAGGATCGCCGCCAAGGTTCGTCAAATCCACTGGCTGCACGCCGTCGTCGTCATCTTTGGGCTTCTCACCCTTCTCACTCTCCAAGACATCCGCGTACGTCTGCAAACCCTGCCCTTGCTTGCCGTCTAGCTTGGCCGCGAGGGCAACCAAACCTTTGCCTTCCACGAGCCCCTCGAGCGATCTGATGAACGCGTCCTGGCCCTGCGTCTTGTAGATTTGCTTCGCGGACTCCAGCATGCGCGTGGCCATCGTAATCTTCCTAGCGCGGCGTAGGTGCCCGAGCCTACCCCCATTGGCGGCGCCGCCTAGCTGACCTGTCGAGCCACAACCCGAGGGGTCGGGTGCACTTGAAGAAGTAGACCGTATCCGCATTGCCGCTCTCGTCGGCAAGCTTCATTGAAGTCAAAGGCTTCAGAGTCCGCTTAAGGAGACGGGTGCATTATGATCTCTGTTCAACTCGCTCTCAAAACGAACTTCAACTGGCCTGGCAGAGTCGAGAGCGATCTCGGTGACGTCCTGGACTGCCGCGGTGGCGAACGTCGAATGCCCCCTCTTCAAGGTGGCAGACGCCTCGGTGACGCTCGCAGCCGCGTGCTCCTCGCCAGCCATGTACATGCCACTGATGGACCCTACGTCGCCGTCGCCGCTGACGGCCTGGGCAGCCAGCCAGCAACGCTTGCAAGCATCCCCGACTGGCACCTTGTCCTTGTCCTTCGCCGCCCTGCACAACGCCCGCTCAACGCCGTCGTCTCAAACGCGATCGGCCCCGCGAGGGCCTCGCCCCGACGGGGGAAAAAAACGGCAATGTAACTTTCAGTGGCCCCAGCTGGCAAAAGCCACGAATGCTAACCAAGGGGGGAGGGGGAAATCACGTACCAAACTGGTGATGGGCACGCTATGTCCCTCTCTTCGGCTCGGTGGTGTCAGAGGCTGCCTCCCGACCTCCCTCTCCGCCGCCGCATCCTCCAATCCTTTCCTCCTCCATTCGCATTCCACCATCCTCATCCCTCCTCACCCCCCCTCGCCCCCCCCCCTTCGGACCTCGGACCCTACGTCATCGGCTGCCGCGCCGCAGCAGAAGACCGCCAGGGCGCCCCCCGAACGCTTCGGCGACTGAGGTGGCGCCCTCGGCTGCGTCTCGACCGGCGACTCGGGCGGCCCCTTGCTAGCCTGGCGCTTGGACGCAGCAGGCTTGGTAACAGCGCCCTTCTTGGCCATTGCTGCGGGCGCAAGCGCGCAGCCTGCGAGGGCCTGGAGGAAGCCGCAGGGAAGCACCTGAATGACCGCGGGGCCAAAGCCTCGAAACCAAAATAGCGGCGCCACGACGCGCGCCCCAAACGACGTCGGCAGCCTTGGAGCTCTCCTGGGCGCTCCTAGATTTCAGAGTGGGCGAGGCGCAACGGAGCATGAAGCCCTGACGCGGCCCAGCTGGGGCCCTCTGTGAGCCCCCATCGGGGCAACGTTCAAACCGATTTGGGGTCATGCCAAGGGGCCCTCCTGGAGCCACGAGAAAGCCCCAGCGGCTTCTGGAGGCCCCCCAGAATGTCCCATGCATGCCCCAAGGAAGCTTCGAGAGCGGGCCAAGGTCATTAAAACAACACTTGCTTGTATACGCTGGTGATGGCACCTGTTGGGCCCCACTCGGAAAGCCTCTGCGTGCTCTTGCAGAGTGTTATTGGAGGCCTCCTTGGGCGCCTGGCCCACCTGGCATCCTGGGATGCCCCCAAAGGCTCGAAGGCGGCGCCGGGGAGACTCTAAGAGGGGCCCAGGATCGCCCCAAGAGCGACCCAACAAGTCTATATATCAGCACGTGCTTTGGCAAGCTAGTGCTGGTGCCTGTCGGGCCCCTGTCGGAGCGCCTCTGGTGTCTCTCTTGGGCCCGTCTCGAACCTCGCGAGCGCGCGGAGCGAGGGGTCCTTTCCTGCCGCCAGACTGCCCCCGAGGTGCTCGGGAAGCCCCGAATACTTCGATTCCTCTCCCCCCCCATCCCCCCCCCCCCCCTTCCTGCCCCCCCCCCCACCCACCCCCCACCCCCCCCGCGCCCCCCCCCGCCCGCCCCTTATCCTCTCCCCCTCCTCCTGAGGGCCGCGCGCGCACGCGAAAGACCTCAATGGCAACGGCCCCGACGCAACGCGACCCCTCGCCGCTCGGCCCCGCCGGGGCCGCGAGAACGGACCCCGGGCGACAATGGAGGTTCGCGCGCGGCCCCTGGAAAGCGAAGGACAACCGAGAGACCTGGGCGCGCTGATACAAGCCCAGCCGACCTTCCCCCGACACTGGCAGGAGCCTGATGTTTTTTCTGAAAGTAACTTTCAGACCGCCGACCTACTTCGGAGTTATTTCGAAAGCTACTTTTCGCAGGCCCATCGCCTCGGCGACGCCCCCGGTGCCCCCGCGGCCCTGAAAAAAAACAAAAACTAACAAACAAGTGACGACAACTAGCAAAACAACTGTGATAACTAGCTCTGGGCACCGGGCCCCGAAACTCAAAAACTAACCCAAAACTAACACAAAGTAATCAAACACTAACAAAAAGTAGCAACAAACTAACTTTGCCCCGATTTTGGGCGTTTCTGGGGGCTGGGGGAAGGCACAACTGACAACGAAGTAACTAAAACTAGCAAACAACTAACGAACACCGAACTCTCCCAGGAATCGGCCCCAGGGCCCAGGAATCCCAAAACTAACCCCAAAGCAAATATCCTGAGCTACTTCCTGCAATAGGGGTGAAGGAGGATAGGTTTCGACTGTTTGCCTGATGCGCCCCAGCTGCATCGGGCAAGTCAGAGGAGGCCAAGCAGGTCCAGCGGCTCGAACCCCTCACCGCCCATGACGCGCTGCCCCCGCTCCTTCTCGAACAAGCCCTCGCCGCCCCCCTGCAAGGACACCGGGTCCCTCTGGGCCTCTCGGACAGCCAGCGGGCCCAACTTCTCCTGCAAGTAGGCCTTGTCCTTGTGATCAGCTCTGCTGCCCGTGTCGTGCGCCAAGCTGAGCCACCCCGCCAGGAAACCCACGGGTCGCCCCCCCCCCCCCCCCCTGGGGGTACCATCAGGCCCATCCGACTTCTTGTTAGGAGTCCGTCGCATGATGCACCTGCCATGGGCTTGGTTAGGACACACTGCCTCGAAATCCGAGCACTGGGAGTAAAAGCACAGCCGGCCCCCGTGAATCCTGACCGTTGCGTCGGCGGCCACGGCCTTCGCCTTGGGGCCACCGAGCTCAGGTGGAGGTGGAGGAGGCCCGTCTGGGGCTGGAACAGGGTCTGCCCCTCCGTCGCCACCTGCAGGAACCGCAGCGACACCGTCATGTCCGTCATCACCGTCTCCGCCTGGGCCATGGTGGACGACTGGGAGGTCGCCGTCGATCCCCCCGTCGCTCTCCAGCGGCTCCATCACTAAGCGGCCAATCCCACCACCGCCAGCAACGCCATCGCCATGACCCCCCCCCCCAGCCCCTGCAAGGCCATCGTCGTCGAACACGTCAGCGATGGGCAATGCATCCTTCGCACCCTCCAATGCGCCTCCGCCTCTGTCTCCAACTCCACCGCGGCCGCGCCCACCGCGGCCGCGGCCATCTGCCCGCGGCGGGGGCCACGTGGCCCGGGCATCGTCGCGGCCACCGAGCGGAAGAAGAGGAACAATCGAGAAGTCCGCGGAGACGGTCGGCGCGGGCGTGGACTCGAGCTCGGGCCATCGAATGCTCCACTCAGGCCTGTCGCCCAACGCCCTCAGCTCCTTGAACGTCGCGCGTCTCTCCCCGACGACCTGTGCATTGGCGCGCCTGGGGCCCCCGGGGAGTTCTCCTGGGTCAGGCACGCGCCTCAGAACATGAAAAGTCGGCGCCTAGGGCGACCAATAACGCAAGCCGACGTGGAGCCACAGATCAATGGGACCCATGCCAAGCACCCCATCGCCATGAAAGTGAACAACAACTATGTCATCATTAAGTAAGAGCCGCTCTGGAGAACCTTTCTTGGCCACAGACTTCATGGCAGTAAGGAATCGGAGCACGCGTTGGGCCAAGCGTCAACCAGCGCCTTTGTACACGCAAAACCCAGCTCGTTTACGCATCGTTTCAGACTGAGGTGGTGGTCGGCCGCCAAGCCCCACCCCCTGGGAGTCCAATGCTGTGCTGCACGTGCTGGCCCACGGTGCCTCGAGCGCCGCTCATATCAGCGTTGCTTTTGCATGCACGCTCGCCCAGCAAAGAGCGGCGCCGACGACCTCGCGCATGTCAACCGACGGCTCGAAGCACGCCATCTTGCAAGATAACGGCACGGCGGCCCAGTGGGCCGCGACCCCGCCATGATGCCCACCTGCTGTAGCCTACTGGCCCACTGCACGCACCCCAATATCATCTGAATACTTGCGTAAGTCTGAAAACTCGGCACACCTCAACTTTGCCTCAGCGACCGAAGCGCACCGCGTCACCCGACGGACTGCAGCTGCCGCCTGCGACGGGCCACCTGCTGAAGCCAATGTCTGGAGCATGTCTGCCCTCGTCGCTGGCTGGGCGTCTACGATCCGGCGTCCGTCGCGGGCTCTGCGCCCCCGAAGTCGCGCGCCATTTGCTCAGGCAAGAGAAGGCCCAAACGATGATCCAATAGTGCTGTGCCTGTGAGATACCGTTGCCGCCGCGCCGATAGTAGTCATGCGTGCTCGCTCTTCGTCGCTCAGTTTCCTGTGCCTCAAGTGGGCAGCCGCCATCGTAGTAAACTTGCCGCGCCGCTGGAAATCCAATCGCATGAGGGCCCTGCAAGCACCACCTCCTCCGCGCCGTCGCTTTCTCACGCCGGGTCGTCGCCTGGCCCTCCTGCCACCCGATGAGAACATTCTTCCACGGCGTCGCTGTCAATCGTCGTCTCCCCGCGCGCACGCGCGCCCACTCCGAGCTGAGGTCCTCGAAATCCATCAAGTGAGTCCGGCGCGATCTAGTCGCCAAGAACCTGCGAACTGCTGCAAAATAGCTCTCGGTGCGGCTGCTATTCTTTCTCCAGTTCCAAGCGACCGAGACCAACTTCGCAAGACAAGCGTTGTCGTCCAAGGCCGGGTGGTTGGCGATCGTCTGCTGCGCCCAATCGGTGAGCGCGCACGCATCGGCCCTCGCAATCTCTGGGCCCAACGCGGGGTCATCAAGTACCTGAAACATGAGAGTTGGAAAGCTCCTGCGCTCGCGCGCTATCTTGCGCTCAACGGCGCAACCTACCCTTCCCAACAAAGCTAAAGCCAGTGCGCGAAATTCAACAGTACGGCAACCGCCGGGCAGAATGCTCCAAACTATCGGGTTGTCGTTAAGGGCGCTGGGTTTGACCTCGCACCCTGTCTCAAGATCACCGCGGGCGATGGGCTGGACTGGGAACTCCCTGATTATCATGTCTCTACTTCCCCTCATCAACGCCCGCGCGGCTCTCGCCTGCTCCGTCTGCCCCCGCTGCAAATAATAAATGCGGAAATTAAAATTGGCAACTACCTGCAAGCACTGCGTCGCCGACCTCACGAGGATCTGCAAGCCAAGCGGGAACTTCTCCGTCCAACAACCTGCCCTCTGTTCTCGAGCTGCGTTCTCCTGGGCCCTGAAGCCACCGCTGTCGGCGTCGTCGCCCCCGTGAGGCCCCCCTTCCCACATCAGATGGGCCGACGTCGCAGATGGGCAGCGCACCCAAGAAGACCTGCGGGCGCACCGCAGTGACGTCGTGCACGTTGGCACGTTGGCAGCCCGCCCACCTCGCGATCTCACCTCCGGGACCTGCTGACCCCTCACCTCCGACGTCCTCCAGTGGGCGCGGCCGAAAACGCCGTGCGCGGCGAAGCCGATGGCGGACTCATCGATCGAAGCCTCGACGCTCGACTACTTGTCAGACCTGAAGGTCGAAGGTCTTGACGAAGCCAGCGCCGCGCTCAACGCAGAAGAAAGCACGTGTGTCATCGCGCCCCTGTCCACGCCCCTGCCATCCGCCGCGGGCCCCACATGTTGCTGCGCTCGATCCGTGCCCCTCCAATCGCAATTCGGAAACTGCGAAAGCAAGACTCTCTGCAAATGCCTGTCCTTGGCCTTGGTCCTGGTGAAGAGCACCATCACGCGGCACCTGTACGAAGCAGCCCCCTGGGGGCACAGGCCGCGGCGAATGTCCAGCCTCTCGCGCACCACGTCGCACGCGCACTTCTTGGAACGCCCCGATCGAGACGCATACCGGTCGAGCCGAGCACTCTTGATGATGGCCTCGTTCATCGGGTTCGACGCGTGGTCGTCCGCGGTGGCATGCCCGACCCTCGACTGGGACCTATCCGCAACCACTGTAGCTGTACTTGATCTGAAGACTGCCGGTGCAATGGTCGACGCAGCAGCGGGCTCGATGATGGCCAGCGGCGTGGCCCGTGACTGAGAAAATACACAAAGCACCCCCGATTTTCGAACCGACATGGCCACGGAACTCAGCACCTGCAGAATCTTGACTTTAGTGGCCGACTTCTTCTCCACAAGGCCAACTGCATGTTCTGGGGAATCGCCAAATTCACAGCCGACTCCCGCGCTCGACCAACTCGCGCGGCAACGCCCGACTGAAATGGCTCGTCAACAAACGCAGTCGCATCCATCGAATTCTCTATTAATAGAACGTATCATTGTACATCAAAAGGTCCTCGGACTTCTGGCCGCGGGTCGCGAACTGCTCGGCCAGGGCAAGCGCGCGCCTGTCCAGGGGCGCCGTGGCGGCCGCCGCCATCCGAAAAGACCGCTGAACTTCCAGCGGTCAACGTCGAGGGCCGAAGACGACGTCGTCGTGGTCTGAAGTGGCCTGTCCCTCTCATCTAGAACGTGGCGAACGCACTCGACGATGTCGGAGTCGAGCTCACCCTGCCCAGAACGACGCCCAAGCTCCCGCGCGCCCAGCAGCGCAGGGATGACTGGGTCTGCGCTCACGCATGGACCCGGCCGCAGCACGTCCACGACCGGCATGCCGTCGCGCTTGGGGACCTTGGGGCGCCTGCGGAGCTCCTCGAAGCTATCCTGCAGCAGGCGCAGGGGCGGCAGCTCGGCGCAGGGGGGCGCCCCCGCCTCCGCCAGCGCCGCGGCAGGCTCCGCGAAGGCCACGTCCAGCGCGCGCCTGCGGGCAGGCGCGACGACGAACCCGACGACGATGACTGCAACGACCGCGATCTCGACGGCAACGACAAACAAGACTTACGGCGCCCAGGCCCCCACGGTGGGAACGCACCAAGGAGACGAACCAATCCTGGAATGCAACAGAACATGCAAACGCACGGTTCGCCAAGACCGACCAAACCAATGCCGATGCGATTGAACCGAAACCAACGCGATGACAACGAACCGACCTACGCTGCATGATACACAAAATGGGGGAGGATGCTGTAACGCCGCGAACTGTGCAAGGGAGGGGGGATCACAATCCCCCCGCCCCTTGCAGTGTTCACGGCGTCACCAAAGCCGTCGCCAACATCGCCAACATCGGCGTCGCCACCGCCAACGCGCCTCCTGGGGGGCCGCCCGCGCCGCCGCCGCCGCGCCGCAGCAGGCGCCAGCGCCGCCTCCGCGGCCGCCTCCGCGGCCGCGGTGGCGTCGACGAACACGCCCTCCAGCCCCTTGGGAGGGATAGGGGGGACCCACTCCTCCTCCTCCTCCTCCTCCTCCTCCTCATCCTCGTCGTCGCATTCCGTCCCACTCCTTCTCCTCATCATCCTCCTCCGCCGCATTCCCATTGCTCCATCCCCACCTCCCCCCCCCCCCACTCTCAGCCGCTGTTCTCCTCCTCCTCCTCCTCCTCCTCCTCCTCCTCCTCCTCCTCCTCCTCCTCCTCCTCCTCCTCCTCCTCTTCCTCCTATGCCGTGCACTGCCTGCTCCTGCGGCGCCGCCGCATCCGCCAGGTCGCCCCAATCCCCCATGGCGGCCCAACCGGTGGGCCGCCGACCCCTCCTCAGCCCCAATGGCTGCAAGCGAACAGCGAAGGGCGTGGGCAGGAAAACAAGACAACGATACAGCCTCCCGCAGTATCTCCTCCGCCATGGCACATGCACTTTGCACTGTGCGTGTGTGCGTGTGCGTGTGTGCGTGTGTGCGTGTGTGCGTGTGTGCGTGGCCCTTACTTGCGTATGTGCGCGTGAGCGTGTGTGTGTGTGTGTGTGTGTGTGTGTGTGCGTGTGTGCGTGTGTGCGTGTGTGGCGGACGGTTGCGTGCGTGCGTGCGTGTGCTCCTCAACATTCAGTCTCCACCGCCCCGCTCATCCCTCCCTCAACGCCCCGCTCGTCCAGGCCAATACTTTGATATTCAATTCCACAAAATCCGTTTCGCGAACCCCCTCCCCTCATATAGTCCCGATCCTCCCCCTTCATGTATACCCCCCCCCTCACACACACACACACACACACACACACACGTTCCATCGGTTTTTCTGGCGCGGCAACTCCTCGAAGCGAAATCTGCAAAACATCATATAACACTTACTGCGCAGTCGTTCTCCCGCTCGAGACGTCCTCGGAAATTTCAAGCGTCGGGCTTCCTGTGGTTCAAACACCTACTTCTCTAGTTACTTGAATTTCCGCGGGCGCGCAAGAGATTATTTTTGTGGGGGCGCTAACCTAATGTAAGTTGTTAGTTTCGCCGTGCTCTTGGGGATAGCGTTTTCGTTACTTACATGTTATCTTGACTTTCCGTGAGATCGCTGGGCTGGCTCTCTGGGAGCCCAACATCTCGGCCTGGCGGCGCCCACGAGGACGAGGACGAGTTCGAGGGTATAAAACCCAGACATGATCGCGCCGTACAAAAATAGGACGGCTTTTTTTCGCTATGTTCGGCCCCTGGGGGCCCTCGCCGGGCCCTGGGACTGTCAAAGAAACGACTCAGGATGAGAGAGCGGTCCTGGGGAACGGGTCGTGACTTCCGGGGGCGCCGCATTGAACAAATCAGGACGTCGCACGTCTGGGAAGAGTATCGACAACCCTCAGGTATTGTTATACTCTCGGGTGTTTTTCTTGTCTAGCTCTTATATTCCCGAGATGTCTTGCGATTCCCTCGGCTTGCTGTTTGCCCTCGCGTCTCTGCTCGCCCTGCGGCCTCGATCACCTCGCGGGGCACCCGCACGGTGGGCGACAGGGGCTTCGGATCGTCCCCGAGGACGAAGCCGAAGTCGATGTGGAAGAAGTGCCCGTCCTGCGTGGTCAGAGCGGATCCTCCTCCCGCTGCGGCTCCTCCTCGCCCTGCGCCGCCTCGTCAGCATCATCACAGCCACCACCACCACCACCACCACCACCACCATCATCATCATCATCATCATCATCATCATCATCATCATCATCACCATCATCACCATCATCATCATCATCATCATCATCACCGTCACCCTCATCATCATAACCATAACCATCACCATCACCATCACCATCATCACCATCATCACCATAATCATCATCATCAGCATCATCAGCATCATCATCATCATCATGAGTTGCAGCTGCATCAACATCGTCAGCATCGTAGTCAACATGAGCTGCATCACCAGTATCATCATCAACAGCAGCACCATGATCACCATTATCAGCATCATCATCAGCATCATCAGCATCATTATCATCCAAATCATTATCACCACCATCACCATCATCATCATCATCATCATCGTCATCATCAATCATCAGCATTGTCATCATCACCATCGTCGTCATCGTCGCCATCGGGGTCGGCATCGACATAATCACCATCATGAACATCAGCATCACCATCACCATCAGCATCATCATCGTCGACAGCATCATCATCAGCATCATCAGCATCAGCATCGTCCTAATCTTTATCGGCATCAACATGAACATCATCAGCATCAGCAGGCCCCTCCTCTGTTTCCTCGTCTCTTTCCTCCTCCAGGGGCGTGCCCGTCCTGCCAGCGAGCGGCGTGGACGAGAATCGAAGTGCAACGGAAGCACGAGGATGCTTGATGAGGAGGCGGGAAAAGGCAGAGGGAGGGGGGAAGAAGGAGGGAGGTGTGAGGAAGGAGGGAGGAGGAGGAGGAGGAGGAGGAGGAGGAGGAGGAGGAGGAGGAGGAGGAGGAGGAATGGAGGTGGGAAGAAAGCGGGAGGCGGGAAGAAGGCGGGAGGAGAGAGGAAGGACGACAATGCAGGATGTTATTGGGCAGCGGACCTTACTGCACAATTCGCATGGTGCACCTGGGCGCAGAAAAGAGGGAGGGAGGAGGGAGGAGCAAGAAGGAATGGAAGAGGAGGGCGGAGGACGAGAACAGAAGAGGAAGGAGGGAGGGTGAAGCCCGCAGGAGGAGGAGGGATGACGGGGGCGCGGGCAGGAGGAAGGATGAAGGGGAGCGGGCGAACGTCCGGCCAGCTCGACGGCGAGGCGGAGCCGCGCCGGGCAGGGCAGGACGGGCAGGGCCCTGGCCCCTGAGACGAAGCATGCCACGGGAGGCAGCCCATGCCGCGGTCGTCCCGTCGGTGGCCTCTTTCAACCAGCTGGCGTCGCCAGGAGCGCCTGCACGACGAGAGCGGGCCCCGAGAGTGCCCCTGCAGCCGGCGAGATCGAGATAAGCCGGGCGGCCTCCTCGAGTTATCCGCGCTGCCTGGGAGCTTGCGCGGAGGGAGAACTTGAGAGCTGACACTCTGGGCAGCAGCCGTGCGGCGGTGGAGGTGCTGCAGGTGGGAGCAACAACAACACCAATCATGTTAAGACTGTACGCTCTTACTGGCACGCGTGTCTTACATTTTGTATACCCCAACCCTCAATGCCCACCCACTTCGTCTTCGATTGCACCCCCACTCGGGGGAAACATCTTCCTTGTCGGCCACTGACTGAAGTGCGAGGAGGTCTCGAGCGAGAGCGCCGTTCCTGAGTTCGGGGGCCTCTCTGGCCAGGGGCTCTCGGAAAACCTATGGAGAAATATCAAGCGGGAACCCTTATCGCCGTGTCTGGGCCTCCACTAACTTGCCTGAATTACGAAAGTCTCGACCGAGATCGCCGTTCCCGAGGTCGGGGGCCTTCCTGGCGAGGGGCTCTCGGAGCAAATCGTGAGGAAGCCTGGATCAGGAGCCCTTCTCGTCGTGGCTGTGCCTCCGCCGACTTGACTGAATTGCGAGGAAGTCTCGAAGGAGAGCGCCGTTCCTGAGTTCGGGGCCCTCTCTGGCTAGGGTGTCTCGGGGTAAAATGTGAGGAAGTATCGAGCGGGAGCCGTTGTCGTCGTAGCTGGGCCTCGAAGGGCCCACATTCAGACGCAAGCCAACGCTCGCGCGGGAGCCTCGTTTTCTGAGAAAATTTAGACGGCGTCGAGGCGAGAGCGCGCGGAACCGTTTCCGGAGATCAACAATTACTATTCTCTAGAATTGAACATTCAACAACTAACAACAACACCAACAGCAGCAGCAGCAACAACAAAAACAACAGAAACAACAACAACAACAACAACAACAACCACAACAACAACAACAACAACAACAACAACAGCAACAGCAACAGCAACAACATCAACAACAACAACAACAACAACAACAACAACAACAACATCAACGACAACAACAACAACAACAACAACACCAACAACAACAACAACAGCAGCAACAACAACAGCAACAACAACCACAACAAAAACAGGGACCTTCCCAGGGCCCCGGCGCTCGGGGCTCCTCCAGACCTCTCCTCCAGGGGGGGCAGGAGTCGTCCCCGGACCCCGGGGTCCCCAACACCCCCCCAAAACAACAACAACAACAACAACAACAACAACAACAACAACAATTACTAGCACGTGGGGACACTCCGTTCTCACCAGTGCCAGGGTTTTCATAGGAGGCGGGCAATACCCCCACTTTGTGGGGGGGCCGGTTCAAGCTCTACCAAATTTCCAAACGACTCTTCGCCACCACCCACACCCAGCTTCCCGCCCTATGACGTTCGGACACTTCACTTCGTGGCATGCGGACGACCGTGGCTACTATTCAGGGCCCCGCGGCCGACGACGACGGCGTGCGCGCGCGAAGAAAAAACGAATGTGTCCCGCATGGTATTATTTGACAGGGATGATGGCCCTGGCAGGTGCGCAACCGTTGTTGCAGAAGTTCGAAAAAGTTGCTCGCAAAAGCCCGTTTGACAGAAATGTTTAAAAAGTGTTGGGTTTCCTACGAATCCGCAAGAGCGCGCGGGATGAAATTTTGACAATTTTTTTTTGAAAAACCATTGGTTTTTTGATGTTTTTATGTTAAAATCGCTACGAAAACTAAGGTTTTGGAAGGATTTCGTCTTGCGCGCGCGAATGTCCACTTTACCTTATTTTTTGCAAGGGATTCTTGAAGTTTGGTTATGTTAGAACAAGAAATGTCCACTTTAGCTTATTTTTTGCAAGGGAAAACCGATCGTAACAACACAACCGGATCCGGACTCCCCCGTTTTGCCTGAGACTTCCTGACGAAAATGATGAAAATGAGGCTGCGGCCTAGGCGCGGCGGGGGGGTCGTGCACCAGGGGTCCCAACAATAATTATTCTTTAGAAGTAATAATGTTCAACAACAACAACAACAACGCAAGGACACCCTCTCAGGCCACCCCGGCGGGGCCCGTGGCGGTGTCCTCGCCCCCGGGGCGAGCGCACTCCCCCAGGCCACGCGTTGCAGTTGTTGCCCGGGGGGGGGGAGCAACGCGCAACACCTCTGTCATACGCTAACGTAGACCGAATCCCCGTGGGCTCCCTTACTGTTCCCCACGCACTCCTGCGTCCGAAAACCGACCGCGCGCCAGCGAGGCCAGCTCCTCCTCCCTATAGGACTCCTGTGGAATCGTGCAAGGCCCTGTAAGGATCCTATAGGATCCCTACAGGGTTCCGATGGAATCCTGTAGGGCCCTGTAAGGATCCTATAGGATCCCTATGGGGTTCCTATGGAATCGTGCAGGACCCTGTAAGGATCCTATAGGATCCCTATAAGGTTCTGATGGAATCCTGTAGGACCCTGTCAGGATCCTATAGGATCCCTATGGGGTTCCTATAGAATCGTGCAGGACCCTGTCAGGATCCTATAGGATCCCTATAGGGTTCCTATGGAATCGTGCAGGACCCTGTAAGGATCCTATGGGATCTTTATAGGGTTCCGATGGAATCCTGTAGGACCCTGTAGGGATCCTATAGGATCACCCATCGGATTCCTATAAGGTTGCTATGGAATCCTGTAGTATTACGATGGGATTCCTATAGGATTCCTATGGGATTGCTATAGGGTTGCTAGGGATTCCATAGGATTCCAATAGTACTACAATCGGATTCCTATGGAATCCTGTAGGACCCTGTAGGTATCCTATAGGATTCCTATAGGGTTCCGACGGAGTCCTGTAGGACAAGGGATCATATAGGGCTCCAAAATGACCCCAATAGGATTCCTTTTGGAATCCTATGGGATCCTGCAGGCCCCTGTAGGGATCCGATAAGACCCCTAATAGGATTCCTGAAGGAATCCTATGGAATCCTGGAGGCCCCTGTAAGGATCCTACAGAGGGGTGCGCCGAAATGAAGCCCCTGTGGGGCGCCGCAGTCAAGCTTCGGTGGAGCTCCCTGTGGGATCAGGGCCACGATCCTCGAGAGGGGTGCGCCGAAATCAAGCCTCGGTGGAGCTCCCTGTGGGGCCAGGGCCACGATCCGTGGGAGGGGTGCGCCGAAATCAAACTTCGGTGGAGCTCCCTGTGGGACCAGGGCCACGATCCTCGAGAGGGGTGTGCCGAAGTGAAGCCTCGGTGGAGCTCCCTGTGGGGCCAGGGCCACGATCCGTGAGAGGGGTGCGCCGAAATCCACCTTCGGTGGAGCTCCCTGTGGGGCCAGAGCTACGATCCTCGAGAGGGGTGTGCCGAAGTGAAGCCTCGGTGGAGCTCCCTGTGGGGCCATGGCCCCGATCCGTGAGAGGGGTGCGCCGAAACCAAGCTTCGGTGGAGCTCCCTGTGGGGCCAAGGCCACGATCCTCGAGAGGGGTGTGCCGAAATGAAGCCTCGGTGGAGCTCCCTGTGGGGACAGGGCCACGATCCGTGAGATGGGGTGCGCCGAAATCAAACTTCGGTGGAGCTCCCTGAGCAACGATCCGTGAGAAAAGTGTGCCGAAATCAAACCTCGGTGAGCCCCCTGTGGGGCCAGGGCCACAATCCGTGAGAGGGGTGCGCCAAAAAGAAGCCTCGGTGAGGTT